CACCAGCATGTGGATAATGAGTTCAGTCAGGAGCAAAACAAATGAAAAGAAGAACATCTGGATTAAACATTTTGATGCAAAGGGAACATATCTAAAAGTTTTTATGGCAAATTCTCAGCTAATATCTCTCTGAAAATCACCTTTTAAATGCTAAAATACTGTTTTCTACATAAGACCTTTTCTTGGCATGTACAGTAAGATACATGTACTGGACTTTATCTCTTTGTGTTCCTCATGTGTCCCCTGGTCTTCAGCCCTCCAGATATATCTCTCAGGTCCTGTGTTCCTTCAGTCTTCTCCAGTCACCCCTCTGCTGTTTATAGTTTCAGCTTTTCATTTTATTAGTCTCTTTAGTTTGTTTTGTCCCACCGGTCTTTGTAGTTCTCCTTCCCTTTATTAGTTATGTGGTTGCTTTTTCTTGTTTTTAGGTTTTACTCTTAGGTCATGTGAGTTCCCTCCCCGATTAAGTATTGCTTTCACCTGGTCCTCTCCCCACACACCTGCAGCTTATCTGCCTCCCATTATGCCCCGGTGTATTTAAGCCCTGTCTTGTCTCTGTGTCTTGTCGGTCTGTTGTTTGTCAGCGTTGTTTTTGGTGCTCTGTGTGAACTTTGTGTCTTGTCCCAGGTTTTTGTGCTCTAAGTGAGCTTTAGTTCTAGTTTCCAGCTTTTGTGCTCCATGTGAGCTTTCGGTGTCCTGGATCTCAGGACTTTTGGATTTACTTTTGTTCATCCTGCAATAAAAGGATTTTTACTTTATATCAACTCCTGCCTCTTGTCATCTGGGTAATCTGCATTTTGGGTCCTAACCATCCCTTCAACGTGACACTTTGTCTGATTATTAATGGGAAATGAGTGGATAGTCCTTTATTACCATTTTTTAAATCTGATTACATCATGTAATTCAACTGGATTTTAATCCCCTGTGGAGTTCTGTTAACTGTTTGAAATGGATTACAGACATTTTTTGTCTCAGACACATAAAGAAGAAAGCTGAGATACCGCCATACTTGCTGTTTTAAATTTAAAATGGACAAAAATTCATGTGAGCATGAACTGGAATGAACCGTTTAACTTAAATAAATCACTGTTACATCTGTAGATTGCTGTTTGAACAACCTCGATTTGGAGAAATGGAGAACAATTCTGACTGATGAGCAGCTAGTCAGGGTGGTGTTAGTTATAATCTAGATTTCTGTCATCCTAAAAAAGCTGCAATCTCAAAATATATTTGGGTTTATCCTTTTTCACACTATTTTAAACGGTGACTGCTAGTTCAGTTTTGGATGACATCATTGTACTGCAAAAATTATTAAATTGTGACTCAAGGTGTTGCAGATCTTCCACTGATTTCGGTTGTATAAAACATTTCTAGGTAAACCATTGTGTATGGCAGTGTTTATGAAACATTTTTAGAATAAGCCGCTGTAGGATTTCGAAGATTAGAGTCCTAAGTGTGTGTAATCCAGTTTGGAACTGGTCCCACTTTGACTAGCTGTTAGCATATCAATCTGGACAGAACCTATCTGGTTTTCTAAACTACGGTCCCTTGAACTTACTGCAGGTAAAATAAATCATTGTTACTAGTTTTTCACAGAAACTACTTCAAAGGATCTGATTTGAAGATGAGAAGACAGAAAGACAGTTAGAAAAGTCTGGCTGCTTGGAGTAAAAAGTAAGAAATGAGGCAAAGATTTTGCACTCACCTGTGCAGGTTTTCTCTGGTGTCACATTGGTTCTTTATAAAATATGTACTACATTTGTTAGACAAGCTCAAAATGGGACAGAAAACGGGCACGTCTGATGTTACATGAAACTAAAGTAAAACACTTGTTTTTTTTAGTTCAGATGTTTGACTTTTTAGTGCATTCTAGTGTTTTTTAGCGCATTAGTTAAAGTGATTAGAAATGCTTGAGACAATTAAAATGTCATTAAAGGCCCAGTTGTTGTTAAAAAACAGAACCATCCTTCTCAACTCTGCAGCCGTTTCCACTGTTGAAGCCTGGCGAGGCATGCATTCAGATAATCCTCCATCATTAGAGCAGGGCACTGAGCTGGATGAGAGCCTCAGAGGCCTTAGCTGCATTTACAGAGTGTGTTTCCATTAAACAATTCTAAATGATGTCTGAACACACAAGTGGTTTCACAGGAAAATGTTCATATCTGAAACAGAACTGGGAAGACAGGGGAAGTTAACAGGCTTCTTAGACATGCTGATTTATTCTGTCAGCTGGATAAAGGTGGGTAGAACACACACACACACACACACACACACACACACACACACACACACACACACACACACACACACACACACACACACACACACACGCACGCACGCGCACGCACGCACACACACACACACACACACACACACACACACACACACACACACACACACACACACACACACACAGACACACTTGAGATACTTGTGTTTGTGTGGACCTCCATTGACTTCCCTTCATTTTGGTAACTCCACCATGCCCTAACCAATGGGGTTCAATTTCTAACCCTACCTTAAACGGGAATTCATAACATTCTTCTATAACCAAGTTTTACACAGTTGGGACCAGCAATGTAAAAATGTCCACAAGTTACAGGTTAAAGTTAAAATTTGTCCACTTACACACACACACACACACACACACACACACACGCACACACACACACACACACACACATACACATACATCGGGTTCTAGATCAGATTTTTTTTTACCTTTTAGGGCTCAGTAAAAGCTGATTTGTTGGTTGATTAAAATAAAACAAATAAATGATAAATATTACATTTGCATAAGAATGAAATAATTTATGATACTTGTTATGATAAATGTTAAATATCTTTATATATTAATGATTATAAATTTAGCTTTTCTTTAGCTCAAATCAGCCTAAATGCCACATGTATATCTGAACTGACCCGGTGGAGTTACGGACTGACTTCACAGCCTGATGTCACTAATCCTTCATTCTGACTCTTTACACTGTTACACTCAGCTTTAACAATCTTCATATACTTTGACCCTAAATTATTGATTTCTGCCAGTGAAAAAGTCCAAATTGTCCTTGTTTAACAAATTGTTAAAGTGGTTGTAATTAATTCTTCTTTTTTTTTGGACTTCGGCTGCTTTATAAACTAAACTGAACCGTTATCAGAGGAATGCTTCTTTTGTTTGGTAAGTGATTCAAAACTTAGAAAAAACACAAAGATGAATAAAACAGACAACGAACCATTATTGTGTCGACACTTAATTTAACAAAGAGTACGTTTAAAAAAGGATATTTAGGTTCTTCAGCATTCTGTCACAAATAAACAGTTTGTTCCAGTTTCTTCTTATTTAAATCAACAAAATAAAAATAAATTTTATTATGTTTATTTTATTTCATGCATGGATTTCGAGGTTATGTGTGGTATGCCTATAGAAATGTAGTCCAAGTTAAATCCAGCCCCTCTGCAGCAAGTGAACAAATGAGAGCAGACCAGTTTCCTCATTCCTTCATTTGCTTTACTCAGTCGATCCTGCAGGGTCAGCTGTTGAGTGTCTCCAGTAGAGGTGGGGGACACCCTGGACAGGTCACCACTAATCCTATCTATCATGGACGGTTTTGGTTTGTGGGAGGAAACCAGTGAAACCTGTGCGGTTATTGCTCTGAGGCCAGTTCCTCTTCCTTCATGTGTCCTCTCTTTTAACGAGTAAATACATGTAGCCCTTCCACTGTCCTGTCAGGTGACCCCTCCAGGACAGGGGGTGGTTAAACATGGTTGATAGTTGGTCCCTTGGCAAGGGTGAAGTGGTTCACTCCTAAAAATATATAAAAAAGCACCTGAGGCCCATCTGACCCCATTAACAATGCGGGAGGGTTTAAAGGTCTTTAGATAAAATTAGTGACAAATGATTTCTGATTCTTTTCGGCTCATTAGTTCTTCTGCTTGTTTTAAAGTCACACATCTATTCTGCAGCAAATTTAAGGATTGTAGCTTTAACTCTCTCCGTATTATTGTGTGTTTCTGTGATGGACAGCGAACCATTTTCAACTCCTCTGTGCTGATGATGTTGAGCATCAACATGTTTCCTGTGAAACTGACCTCCTTCTTGTTAAATGGCCTGTTTTGTTGTTGTTCTGCAGCGTGCCTCTTCCTCGTGCAGCATGTGAAGCTGCGTGCATGCTCTCATGCAGCACAGGCCTCCCCTCCCTCTTATAGAAATGCTGCAATGCGTCTTCCTCTCTCAAGACTGGGTCAGTGTAACTCTGCTGGCAGCACCAGTCAGAGCGTCGCCATGGAAACAGCAGATGAGACTTGTGGCTTAGGATATTTTTTCCTGCTTTGCCTTGTTGTCAATAACTCACATGAAAACAAGGTTTAGGATTAAACTCATCGTGTGAGTGTTGGAGAAAAAAGAATCCCCAGTTTTCTGACATCCTGTAAAACACACCAGGAATGCCACTGTGCAGCTTTTCAAAATAAGAGTTTAAAGTGATACTTCTAACACACAGGAAGCATCACTCCTTAGGTTACTTTATGAGCAAAGTTTTCCAACTTAATGTTTTTTTTTAATTTAATTAACAATTTATTCATTCAGATAAATATTATTTGATCACTAGGATTGGTCTTTTAAGACATTTTCCAAATATAAAAAAGCCTAAAATATCAAGAGTTTTCATTTTTAGCAGAGTGCATGTACTAATTTATGTCAGCAGGAGTTTTGTGATTAGAACGCATGAGTATAAAATGAGAGAAAAATTTACTTTCACACTAAAACCAATAAAAATCACCATAAATGCCAAATGTCAGATTAGAAAACAAATCAAAGAAATACTCTTTATTATATTTATTTACAATACGCCATTACATTAACTCACATTATGTGTGCATTAATTAGTTAATTTGCTGAATTCAGTATATTTGCTGTCTTGACATAGGTCTTCCTAACCAGAGTAGCATGTGGAGTGTTTACCTCCCACTGGTCTAAGAGTTTGTGTTTCTGTTTCATGTAGGTCAGCGAATCCTCCAGTATCAGAGTGATGTCCTCACGACAGTCGTGTTGGTGAACCCATCAGAGGAGGCGGCTTCTTTACAGGTGAGTCACGTTGAGAAGACAAAGAAAAAAAGAAACAACAACAAAACCTTAGTAAAGCGATGAGAAATGTATGGTTTAAATAACTTTTTGCTTTCTTTCTGCAGCATGTAGCAGTATTTTTTATTTTATTAAACCGTTCTTATATTTTAAATGTTTATGACAACCACCCCAAAGCATGATGCTGCCACCGCCATGCTTCATAGTGGGGAACCTTTGTGTTTAGGCCTTGGTGATTAAATTGTTAATGCTTGTTTACATTTACTTACAGGATATAAAACAACACAATATGGGTTAAAATAGAACATCCATTTTAAAATAGTCTATTTTTGAGTGAGTGAGTGAGTGAGTGAGTGAGTGAGTATAAAAACAGAAACAGACAGGAACTTTTTTAGATTTTGTGAATTAGTTTAGATAAGTTTTGAAGATTTGGTGCATCGTCTCGGCTGTTTCAATGCTTTTGTGACAGAGTGTTCATATTTTTGTTATGATTTTGATAATCCATGTTTTTTTATTTTGTCAACAACATCAAACAAGAGAAACACATTTTTTGGCAAAAGTTAAACCTAGTATCACAAAGATACATTTAAAAATGCCACTGATACAAACCGATGCTCAACTTGCCTAACTCAGATTTGATCGTTTACCCTTTCAGGATTGTGCTACTTAGCATTTTAGTTTTAATGTGAAGGGCTGTGAGTGTGTTGTCATGCCGTTTGAATGTCAATGCTGTTTCCGTCCTCTACCTAGACCAGCTCTCTGATCACTGACTCAGCTGATAATAAGTTGTTGATCCTGAGTGGCCAGAGCTCTGAGCAGGGAGGTGATATCCTGCTTCAAAGTGGAGCCTTCACTTATCATCACTTCACCAGTATTATCTCCGATCCTCTAGTAAGCTCAGAATGCCATTTTTACACTTTGTTACAATCTAGAAGGTCATCATAAAATACGACTGAAGGGATTGACTCACTTGCTTTCTGTGTTTCAGCTGAGCGAAGTTCTGTCCAGACCTTCTTCAGCAAAGCCATCCAAGCTTACTGTTTCCTGTCAGGGAGACGGGGGCTGGAGCTCCCTGGGCGAACATCAGGAGCAGCGGCTACTGAAAAATCTTGAATATTGCCTGAACCCTGAACCCCACCTTCCAGACATGGATGGAGTCACAGAGTTCACTGAGTACATCTCTGAGACTGTGGATGTACCATCACCCTTTGAACTTCTGGAACCGCCAACCTCTGGAGGGTTTCTGAAGCTGTCCAAACCCTGCTGTTACATCTTCCCTGGTGGTAGAGGAGACTCTGCTTTGTTTGCCGTGAACGGATTTAACATCCTGGTAGATGGAGGCTCTGACAGGAAGTCCTGCTTCTGGAAGCTGGTACGACATCTGGACAGGATTGACTCTGTTCTGCTCACCCACATTGGAGCGGACAACCTCCCAGGCATCAATGGGTTGTTCCAGAGAAAGATAGCGGAGCATGAGGAAGAGCACAACCAAGGATCTGGCTCCAGTAGCAATGGTGACTGGATGAGGAACCTGATCTCCCCTGAGCTTGGGATTGTATTTTTTAACGTACCAGAAAAGCTTAGAATGCCAGAGTCAACCCTGAAAGTAAAGAGAAGCATTGAAGAAGCATCTCTGACACTGCAGTACCTCAACAAGCTGGGCATCACACCTGAGCCTCTTCACAGGGTCGTCAGCAACACCATTGAACCAATCACCTTGTTCCACAAACTCGGTGTGGGGAAGTTAGACATGTATGTCCTAAATCCGGTCAAAGAAAGCAAAGAGATGCAGTTTCTGATGCAAAAATGGGCCGGGAACAGCAAAGCCAAGACCGGGATTATGATGTCGAATGGAAAAGAAGGAGAAATATCTGTACCCTATTTGACATCAGTCACTGCTTTAATCGTTTGGATACCACATCGTCCAACGGAAAAGATAGTGCGGGTGCTGTTCCCTGGAAATGCTCCGCAAAATAAAATTTTCGAGGGCCTGGAGAAACTGAAACATCTCGACTTCCTGCGATATCCAGTGGCCACTCAGAAGGACATCTCATCTGGCGCCCCTCCTCCGATCATCAAACAAACTAAAATAAGATCAAGAACAGACAGCAAGGAGAGCCTCAAATCTTCACCCAAACCACACGCCAAAGCTATTAAAAAGGAAAGCGGCGGGCAGGAGGATGAGGTGAAGACTGACACCACTAAGGAGAACAAAATTGAAAAGAAAGAAGAAAGAAAACTAAAAAGTGACAGTTTAAAGGCCACCAAACAGCAGAAGAACAGTGAAGTGGCCCCAGGAGTAGACAAGACAGCAAAAACGAAAACATCCAAAGAAAAGACTTCCAAGCAGGAGAAAGCATCTAAGGTGGATGAAAAGAAAGACAAAGAGAAAAAAGAAACCAAGAAAGAAAAAGTAAAGAAAGATGAAAAAATAAGAAAAGAAGAGAAAAAAGAGGGTAAGGCAAAAGAAGACAAAAAGAAAGATTCAGGTAAACCCGAGTTGAGAAAAATCACCAAACCCGACTTGAAGCCACTCACCCCTGAGGTGAGAAAAACCCTTCACAAGGCCAAGACTCAGGTCAAACCCAAGGCTGACAAGAACAAAGCCGTTAAAGAAGAAGCAAATGAGAAAAAGCCCGTTCCAAAGAACATTCCTGACGAGGTTGCAGCAGCAGCGCTGGCCGACAGGTCCATTGTCTCCTCACCCGAAGACCTCACTGAGGACTTTGAGGCTCTAAGACAAGAAGAGATGTCCAAACAGAAGACTGAGTCAGTCCAGAATGATGTGATGTGTGGACTATCACTGCACATTGATGCTAAAGCTTCTTCTCCAGTTGAGCCTGATGAGAAGCTAACATCTCCGCCCACCGAGATAGAATCTCCAGCACCAAAATCCCCCATCACAGAAGAGATACAAGACAACGGTGCATCTGAACTGGCTACGGGTACACTGAAGGATGTGAGTGAAGGCTTTGAAAAGAAGTACGAAGAAGAGAAAATGGAGAAACATGACACATATTCTCTGAAGGAAACCATGACGGACAGGACAAAGAAAAGCGAGAGCTCAGAAGAGGAGGGTGATGTAATTGAGAAGGCTGAACTAGAAGGAACCGAAGATGATGAGGTCCTAAAATTTAAATCTGATGACATGAAAAAGGAAAAAGCTGGAAAAGAGTGGGACATCAGACCAGCTGAACAAAAGCCTTTAACAGCTGCAGCACCTGTAACAGCCTCGGCCTCTGAGCAGTTCTCCTACATCCAAGATGAAACCATCCCTGGTTACTCTGAGACAGAGCAGACCATCTCTGATGAGGAGATCCACGAGGATACAGAAGACAGGATCCCACAGCTGCGCTACGACGTGGCTTCTTGCGATGTCTCTGTTCCCGATGTCCCTGGCACCTTTGACTCTATGCATGGTATTAAGGAGATGAAGAGTTCTGCACTTTCAGATGCTGCAGATGTCAAACCCAAAAGTATCGTGGGTGGTCATGAGCCCGAGCTTGCACCCTACCCTGCCATCATTGCTGCTCCTCTTGCTGAAGAGGAGCATATCTCCTCTGCAACATCCATCACTGAATATGACAAACTTTCTTCCTTCGCCACATCTGTAGCCGAAGACCAGTCCATCACCTCGATGACTGCCCCTCAGACCGAAGACGTTGGGAGGAACTCACTCCTACTGGACACCATTAACAGTGTCCCATCTCGTGCAGAGGCTGCCCAAGGAAAGGACTACCTTCACTCTGCTGGAACCATTTCTCCCACCTCCTCACTGGAAGATGACAAGTGTTTTAAGTCTCCTTCCTCTGACGAGTACCAACCTAATATACCAGAGATCGAGAGTGAAGCAAAGATTAAGTCAATCCATGAAGAAGACGACGATGAGGAAGATGAGGATGAGGACCAGACCCCAAATGTTGACATTCCTTTAGGTAAACTTCAAGAGGGCTATGAACACGCTGCCTTTATGATGCGCCTTGAAAAAGAGAAATATCTTCCTCCCGTCAGTCCAACACAAGCTGAGGAGGAAAAACAGGCTCTCTTCAGAGCTGAGGCGGTTAACACTGCTGCTGAGATCAAGCCTGTTTCACCCCCTCCATCTTTCTGTCCCATGCTAGAGCCCCACTCCGGGCAGGATAGTGAGGAAAGGTGCTTAAGTCCTGATGACAGCACCATGAAATTAGCTTCGCCCACACAGTCAGTGCCCACAAGTAGCAGCTACTCACCAACAGAGGAAAAAGCCTTAAAGACAGAAGAAAAACATGAAACAGTTACCGATTTGAAGTCCGACATCCAAAAAGCTGAAAGATCAGTCATTATCTCTGAAAATACCTCCGTTATTGACCTGCCAGGTAACAAAACCACATTTGACGAAGCATCTGAGGAGTCTGACGAAGACAGCGGGGATGAATATTTTGTCAAAAAGGAGTTACAGCCTACTATAAAAGCTAAGCTAATGGAGGCCAAAGAGGGTTGCTTCTTGGACGATGACTTTTCGTTTGAGGCAAAATCTGCAAAGACAGAAACAGAAACCAAGAGTCCAGACAAGACTCAAGTGTCCTTCAGCACAACAGAAACACCAAAACAAAAAGTGATGTGTTCTGGTGAGGAGGAAGATGAAAAACCCAACGACTTCCCAAGTGGAGTAGGAGCAAAACCAATTTCAGATGATAAAGAAATCATTGAGAAAGGTGATGTTAGCATCAACGAGCCGGAAAAAAGTGTTCACTTCAGTCTTTATGCTAATCCAGAGAAAGAGAGCAAAGAAAGGGCAGTGTATACAAGACAAGACACGCCCTATGTCCATGGCAAAACCTTCTCGTACGGCGATCTTTACGACAGCAAAACAAGCTCAGAGGAATCCGATCTGTATCGCCAAGAGTCTGATGACAAGGCGGAGCAAGACACTGCAAAAGGCAAAGTGGATCTGCAGAAACACGAGCCTCAGTCAGCAGCCACCATCATGGACAAGACGTCCGAGAAGGAATTCTCCATGTCCTCATGGCTTGAGTCAAAGAGCACCTCTGCCATAGATCAACTGGAAAAGGAGACCCAAGATAAAGAGATGTTTGAATACAGCCAAAGTAGTCGTTTCCCTTCGGTGGCGGACAGGCCTGAAGCATCAACCACTTCTTTGTCATCAGAGAAAGATGAAGGATTTGATGGTTTGGCGCTAAAAGGTCAAGTGGACATCACGAAGCCCCCAACGTTCTCCTCAGTGACACCCGACACCTCTGCTGCCTCCGGCTACAGCGAGAAGGGGGCAAGTTTAGAGGTAGATATGAGAAAACTAACTGCAAAGGATGAGGAGGATTATGATGATGATGAAGTTATCGATGATGATGAGGAGGAGGAGGAGGAGGAGGACGAGGAGGAAGATGACGAGGAAGAAGAGGAAGATGATGGTGGCGCTGGTTCTGATGTGGAGAAAGGTGCAAAAGAGAAGTCTGAGAAGGAAGCAGCAAGTCCTGTAAGTCAAATGCTTAGCTCAAACAGACCTGAATTTATGGTTTCTATGGCGGGGTACGGTTACAACAGTCAGGGGAAGCCGAGGGTCAATGAGAGCGGCTCAAGTTCATTCCTAAAGGCTGAAGATGAAGCCAAAACGGACTCAAAACCGGTGGATTCAGGAGCTGGAAGTTTCTCTGGTTGTTCTTCAGGGTTTGAGTACTCATACTCGACAGAAGAGAAGGACTCATTCTCATTAGGTCAAGCTGGAGACAAAGGAAGAGAAGACTCCCCTCTGATGTCCAAAGAGGACAGTTGTTACCAAAGTGACAGAGCTGATTCTGAATTTGACAAACAGAAGACACCTGAAATTCTGAGTAAGAGTTCTCTTGAAACTAATTTTCAGTACACGACTACAGCTGCCCCTGGGTACTCCTCCTCCTCGGCCTATAGCTACTCCTCCTCCACGTCTGGTTCCCTCTCCACCAGCCGGCAGTTTGGAGAGGAGCTGGAGACACCCGCATCGGCTGAAGCTCTCTTTGAGTACTCATCTTTTAAAGAGGAACCCTCGCTCGTCATAGACTCTCCCATCTCCAGCTCAACTGGCGTCAAAGATGACTACCTGGAGGTTTCTGAGAAATACACGACTATGGCAACCGCAGCAGAGTCTAGTTCCAGTTTAGCTCGCTTCTCACCCCTTAGTCCATTTGAGGAGGTCAAATCCTGCCCTTCACATCCATCCACCACCATTCTGGAAGGCAAGGAACATGTAGGTCCATTGGGTGGAGTTCCTGATGAAGGGCTTCCATCTGACTGCTTTTACAAGCCTGGGTGGTCAGAAGAGACCAAGCTGGACACAGCAGCTGGATTTGGGGCTGCAGCAGGTCCTTTTACAGATTTCTCCATGGAGAAAGAGGCAGCCAGTGCTGCTCTGTTCGGTGTCACGTCCTCCCCTCGACCAGACATTGAAGGCAAGCATTACTTTGAGGAGACTGACAGCAGTGAAGAAGAGGATGAGGAGGCATACATGCGTGAAATGACCCACAGGTCTCCTTCCAGCGGACTGGTTGGTAGTCTCCCCTTTTCTGACACGCCTGTTGCTCCAGCTGTAAGTGAAAAGACAGGCGATGCACTTCCAGATGTTCTGAGCTCCTACATTTCAACGCCTCTTCAGAGCAGCAAAGCAGATAAAACAAACGGTCCCACAGAGACGAGCGTGGGCACCGCCGTTCCTTCTGGAGCGGCAGCAGGAGGAGCTCCAACAGACTCAGCCAAAGTGGAGTCCAGAGAGGGAGCTGCAGGTTATGTCAGGAGTTTGTATGAGTGGGAGATGCCAAAGCCTCAAATGGCTATGGTGCCTGGAGATTCCCCTCCTCATTACCGCCACGATGACGAGTTTGAGGAGGAATGTGAGACGGAGCCAGAGCACCCAGCCCGGCCACTTTCACTTGCTGCTGCTGACCAGCCATTCCGCTCACAGTTCTATGCAGAAGAATGCAGCCGAGGTGAGCAGGATGATGACGATGATGATGATGATGATGATAGTGACCAGGATGTACATGTAGGAGCGACCTCCTCTTACACTAGCCGCACCTCTCCTGGATACTCATCCTCAGAGTACAGGCAGCACAAAGAAGACCTGTCACCTTCCTTCATCAATCCTTGCATGCGCCAGTTTTCGAGCGATGAGGATGATGCAGAGGAAGGCCGCAGAAGTGATCAGTCACAGGAAGGTGATGAACACGATCTGTCAGTCAAAAGAAGGACTCACAAGCAACCCCCTCCTCAGCAGTCCCACACCAGGGACAGCAGCTCCCTGCACCAGGCCAGTGGGATGGCAGCAGGATTGGGTCTGGCTACAGAGGACACCCCACCCACCTCCATCAGTGAGTCTCTGGGCTCTCAGTCAGACTCTGATGTGCCTCCGGGCACCGAAGAGTACCCCTCAGTCACTGGTGGAGGCAACATGGACTCAGATGAGGATGGAGACTACATGCCTGTTGATAAACCAGCTGCAGGAGGAAGCAGCCATCACTCTGCCTCAAGGAGGAGCCGTGACCCTCCTCCTGCTCCCCTCATGGACCCTCACCCTCACCCTCCTCAGCCAGATGTTTGCATGGTGGATCCCGAGTCTTTGGAAAATGGCTCTTTCAAGAAAGAGCCAAAAGCAAAAAGCTTCAAGAAGACTTTAGGAAAAACCAAATCAGCATCTCCAGCTCGACGCAAGAGGTCTCCAATGCCTGTCAAACAGACGCCATCTCCTCGCAGCACTTTACTGAAGAAAAAGGAAGCAGACAAGAGTTCACACATGTCTCGTCTGTCAGATGGACAAGGCTCTAAAGACGATGACCTCTCCAGGTCGAGCTACAACCCAGGCAAAGGGCTGACAAATGGCGTCAAAAGTAGCTCAGGTGAGCAAATTAAATGTGAAAGTGAAATGTTTTGTGGTATACATCAAGTCAAAGAAAGTCATGCTGACAGACAGGACAGTAAAACAACATTGTTACTAAATGGTTTGTTTTGTTGTCTCCCAGGTTCTCAGAAGTCCAGTTCTGCAGCTGCTCCCGGCCTCCCCATTTATGTGGATTTGGCCTACATTCCAAACCACTGCAGTGCCAAGAATGTGGACCAAGAATTTTTCAAACGCATTCGTTCTGCGTACTACGTAGTGAGTGGAAACGATGCTACAGGCGGCGAACCGAGCCGCTCGGTCCTTGATGCTTTGTTGGATGCCAAAGCTCAGTGGGGATCAAACCTACAGGTACACAAACTGTTTTTATTTATTCTTGTTTAGTTTGACAGCTACTTTCATTAAACATGTTTGCTACTGTATTCACACAGTTATTTTGTTTTTGTTTTGAACAAGGTCACCTGTTTTTTCAGTACATTTGCAGTGGTCTTTAGCATGTGTATCATGCACCTTGTGTAGGGCACCGCGCGGTGGGGTGGGGAATAAAGAAGATAAAGAAGAGACAAATAATTCAAGGGTCTCCTGAGCCGTTTTGGGGTTTCATTTTGTTTAAAATCAGCCCATCCCGAGCCCCAGAATCACCATGAGGGGGTAAGTCCCCGGTCCTGAAATCTGGGTAGGACACCCTTTGAATCTGGCCCCCTGGACCTGTAGAACACTGTCCGTCATGGAGCAGATCTGCCATTTTTCCAAACCTGTTGCTCTTCGGAATACCCCCTCTTTACCCCCAACCCTGGTTCAAATGTTGTTGTAGTGTTGACTGGTCACTAACGGTCTGACTGGTCTTTCTGACTTGCAGTTGGAACACTAGAGTCTAACCCCTTCTTTCCACGGGAGCCGTCAGCAGCACGTTACTGCAGCAGCACGTCTTGCTCGCGTAAGCTGCTGCTTGGCCCTTCCCACGAGATGCGAAGCAGCAGGGGAGCAGCTGTCACCGACAGAGCACGAAGTCACACGAGTGACTTCGTCAGTAAACACAACAACAAGCAGGAGAAAACTACCACATGGTTTGTGTTTTATGTTCTGTCCGTTTTATAATCACCAATACGGACCTGAAAAACAAAGGAGACTGCTAGCTAGGTGATAACTTCTCACAGGGCCGCACAGTTAGTAACCTTTTTTAAAAGTAAAGCAACCAGAAGGAAGTATGTTTCTTTATTCTGAAAATCTCGGGAGCTTCTCTCCATTTCCGCGTCCGATTTCCTGTCTTTCCCAAAAATGTCGAACTTGACCCGTTTCAGAGGCGTCGCACGTAGAAAATAGAACTGGCGCGTAAAGGCCGCGACATGCTGCTCCTGAGATGCGGCCGACTCGCGCTGCTGACGGCTCCAGTGGAAAAGGTTCTGTTGACCACAGCGGTTCCTATCAGCAGCTATGATGTGCTGCTGCAGTAACGTGCTGCTGACGGCTCCGGTGGAAAGAAGGGGTAATTTGAAGTCATTTCCAGCTCCAAGTCTTGACTCCCAAGATAAATTAAATGCATTTATTCATTTTGACCCGCAAGAGCAGAAAAAGTGAGTTAACTAGGGCTTCATTCCACTCTCACACCTGTGCTTTGAAAAACCACAAGTGAGCATAGCTTCAAAATAGAATGCAGCCCTCATTAGCACATCAGTGCTTTCCCTGTTCTTTCCAGTCAAAATGTCTGCTGCAAATCAGGCGTTTAACAAGCCAAATTCTTCCCATTTCTAAGCTACTGCCACCTGCTGGTCAGGCTTGAATATTTCAGCACATGACAGAACATATGGAAAAGATCCCAACAAAACATTCACAAAATTATCTGAATTTGCATAACTGAGGACCCAAAGTCTAAATCCAGGTTAAAATAGTCCAAAGGCAACATGTTGTAGATTCAAACTGAGCAAAATCTAGATTTGAGGGGAATCTCAGAGTTTAGATTTTGATGCTAACACATATGCTAAAATATTCTGACAAATACCAAAAAACATCTAATTAAAAATAAAATCACTGAAAATTTTGGGTGAGGAGAAAATAAATCATTACGTGAAGAATTTGAGCTAATTAGATCACTGGCAACTAATTTGTAACAAAACCTAATTTTATCCAAATTAGTACCAAAAGCAGAATATTGAGATATAAAGACCTGTGATAATTCAACCGTTTAGTGAAAATATTCACAACAATTCTTCACATCATTTAGAAATGCTTAAATCTGTTGAACTGAATTGTTTTAGACTCGTTTCACCTCACCTTGAGTCATTTTACCACCCTTCTCTCAGGTGACTCTGATCCCGACCCACGACACTGAGGTGACCCGTGACTGGTACCAGCAGACCCATGAGAGGCAGCAGGAGCTCAACATCATGGTTCTAGCCTCTAGCAGCACCGTCGTCATGCAGGACGAGTCTTTCCCCGCCTGCAAGATTGAGTTTTAGGACCAGTTTCCCCTCTCCTCCATCCGTTGCACCGTCTTGTTTGTTTCATTTCATTACTTCCTTCTGTAAATTCATATCTGTTTCTAATGAAACCGACCCGGATAGTGTTCTTCTAAAAATCATTTTGGCTGTTAGTACCACAGAGACCGTTCTGATTTATTTATCCTTTTGTCCGGTAAAGAAAATATTCCAGACTTGTTTTTCTGTTTTCTAATCTGGTATCTTTCAGATTCTCAAAAAAAATTGATTAATTAAATAATTGTTGGGAATCATTTGGGTAATGATAGACTCAAATAAATAAATAAATAGGGTCTCAAATACCGGAGACAACAAGAGAAATGCTGTTTAAAAATCACAAGAGCAAAAGGGCAACAGTCTCAACAGCATAATGATCACTTTTAGCTCCTGTAATAATTAAGAGAACACTGCTATTAACAGTAGGTGAACATCTGGCTTCATCCCAGCTCCACACTGACCTTCAGCTTCCAGAAACACTTCAGACTCATTTGTGCTTTTCTTGTTGCTCTTTTCTCCTTCTGTCTGATTTAATTTTTGTTTACATGACAACGTTCTTTTTCCTCCAACTAACACGGTAAAATAGAAACCTAGAAGAGGTAGATCCAGCGGTCCGTTTACTGTGAACTTGTTGTAGTGTAGGCTCATGATAAAAACTCTGTACCGTAGGATTAGAGTATTTCTATATCTGGTTCTCTCAGACCAGTAGGACCTTCTCGGTCCCTTCCTACAGTGACGACGACGGCTGAATTTATCTGGATTACTTCTGTAGATTTTGGTGTCACTTTTCAATGTAACTGCAGTGATTATATTGTCCCAGAGGTCCCGTAGAGAGCTGTAGACACTGGAAACCTAGCCTGGTTTTATCATCTGAAACCACCCAGAGCTCATTAACCTCACGTCGGTTGATGCTTGCTTGAGAATGAAGAATGTAGTCCACTAACAGGAACATGTGGCTGTTTGGTTGATGCTTATCTGTCTCCCACATGTGCCTTTCTGTCCGGCTGAGCTGGATGGAAAACAAAGAGATGAGTGAAATGTGATGGGGATGTCCACGGCCCTGTGGCGGAGGCTCAGTAAGCCCCACTCCTCTGCTGGTCAAATCTCTCACTGAGAAGGAGTCCCGGCGTGTGAGCAGAAAACTTCGACAGCACCAACTCAGTATTTCAGCTACCACTCAGAGAAGCACAAGAGGAACCAGTGTGTGAAACCTAAATCTGATTCAGCTTTTTGCAGTTTTGGCAACATGACATGTATCGTTACAGCCCTGAATCGCCTTTTTGTTGTTTTATGTTGTTTCGGTGCAAACTCTGATTGTTTTAGGTAAGGTGTTGGCACAAGATCCATTTGCGTGATTAATAATTTTGAAACAAGGACCAACAAGTCTCAGCAGGGTTACGATCTTTTGAGACCTAAACTGAAACTCCAGCGCTTGTATTTATTCTAATCCCCTCCTCCCAACGTCTGTGCATGTACAAGAGATGCATGTACATAAACACGGGCTGAGGGCAGCAACTCCAATACATCTGAATGTGAAGATGCAGAATTTACCTTTACGTTCTCCGCGGAGGACTCAGATCTCCTGGTTGCCTTGGTTACCATGCATCGTACAACACACATCGGTCAAATTAACCGAAACACAGCACAGCAAAGCACAACAAAAACACACACAGACACCACATTGGGACGTTAGATTAAAGAGTGCGCTGCTGCACCGTCACTCAAGCTGCATCTCTGTTTCATTCATTCTATAAAACTACTGCCAGACTTGGGTCAACACCTTTTTACCTGTGAGGATGTCCTAAACTACTCCTCACTTCACACACCTGACGCTGCATTTTCAATTGTGCGAAAAGGGTTTTCAAAAAGAAAAACAGCTGTTGTTGAAGTCTTTTCAAAGACTGTTGCACCCCTGTGAGCCCTGCTTGTTTGTGCATGTTGTAACTTTTGAGTTCTCCTGTATCGAAACAGCGGAAGAAACTCAGACTCCATATCGAAGCACTACGTTTGTGAGAAGCTAAGCTGCCCAGTCTGGAGGAGGCACATGTAATCTGGCTTTGCTGTGTAGTAGAAGAGCCCTGTGATGGTTCTCCTTCCTTCTTGCTTCATAATTATTATTTCTTCTCGTTTTAAGTGCAATATTTTCTTTAATTCTCTTTAAATGCTTATAAAAGTAAAACAGAAACCAGATTTATTGCTGAAAGGGAAAACAAAGTGTGCTAAAGACAAATAAAACATTTACTGATGATAAAACCTCCCTGTCTTGTTGCTTTTGGTGTTTCTGCCTCGTGTTGTCATGTGTTGATAGATTTTAGACATTTTTGTTTAAACATGTTTAACCTGAATGTTAAATATCTGATATTTGTGTCATGCAATTTACTGACAAGATGATGGAGCTGGTTGATCAAATTAGAAACAAAACCTGGTTAATGTGTGGAAATTTTAATATTAATTTAGAAACTCCTGAGGAACAAAGAATATCAATGGACTTTGTTGATTTAATGTAGTTTAGGTTTATTCCCCCTGATTAATAAAACAACCAGTCACATCTCACAGTGCTACGATCCTCGATAATATTTTCACAAACAAAAAGGATGATGTTCTCGATCACTCGAGGTTACTTCAGAAATTACATCAGTATGGAATAAGAGATGTGGCGCATCAATGGGTTAGAAGTTATTTAAAGAATAGAAAACAATTTGTCCAACTAAACAACACGACATCAGAACTGCGGGAGATTAATTATGGTGTGCCACAAGGGTCGGTCCTTGGACCTAAACTGTTCATACTATTTATTAATGATCTTGTAAATGTATCTAAGCTGCTCGGTACTGTTTTATTTGCTGATGACACAACATTGTTCTATTCAGGGTCGGATATTAATGTTTATGTTTTCTGTTTATGTATTTAGCAGACGCTTTTGTCCAAAGCGACTTACAAGTGATAATCGGCATTTTGCCCTTGAGGCTAACAACAATAGTAACAACAACAAATTGACATCAGTCATGGAGAGGAGGGAACAAGGAGCGGACAGTAGAGAGGGGGGACAGGTGCAGGCAAGGTGCTAGTTAAGAAGATGCTCTCTGAAGAGCAGGGTCTTCAGGAGTTTCTTGAAAATAGAAAAGGAAGCCACAGTTCTGGTAGTGTTAGGAAGGTCATTCCACATTTGTGGAACGATGCATGAGAAAAGTCTGGATTGTCCTGAGCGTGGTGTAGGCACTGCTAGCCGACAATCCTGTGATGACCGGAGCGGCCGGGCCGAGACGTAAGCCTTCGCAAGAGGATTCAGGTAGATGGGAGCCGTACCGTCTCGGACTTTGTATGCTAGTGTTAGCAATTTGAATTTGATGCGTGCTGCTAGCGGTAGCCAGTGGAGCTCAATGAACAGAGGGGTGACGTGTGCTCTTTTAGGCTGATTGAAGACCAGACGTGCCGCTGCGTTCTGGACCATTTGAAGAGGTCTCACAGTACAGCCTGGAAGACCAGTTAGAAGAGCATTGCAGTAGTCGAGGCGGGAGATGACAGTAGATTGCACCAGGAGCTGGGTGGCATGTTGTGTTAGGTATGGTCTGATCTTTCATATGTTGTACAGCGCAAAGCGGCATGAACGGGCAACAGAGGCAACATGATCTTTAAAGGCCATGTGTTCATCAATGACAACACCCAGATTTCGAACTGCCTTTGAAGGAGCCAGACTTAGGAAGTCATTCTGGATTGAGATATTGTGCTGTATGGATGGTTTTGCTGGGATGACAAGCAGTTCAGTTTTAGAGAGGTTGAGTTGGAGATGGTGGGATTTCATCCATTTTGAGATGTCAGAGAGACAGTCTGATATTCGTGCTGAGATAGTGTGGTCGTCCGGTGGAAATGACAGATAGAGTTGGGTGTCGTCTGCATAGCAGTGGTAGGAGAAGCCATGTGATCGAATGATCTCACCCAGTGAGGTGGTGTATATGGCAAAGAGAAGAGGTCCTAGTACAGAGCCCTGGGGGACTCCTGTGGCAAGGTGGTGCACGGTAGAGGACTGTCCAAGCCAAGATACGCTGAATGATCGTCCTGTGAGGTACGATTCAAACCAGGCGTGTGCTTTCTCTGTGATGCCCATGCTAGAGAGTGCGGACAAAAGGAAGCCATGGTTGACGGTGTCAAATGCAGCCGATAAGTCGAGCAGGATAAGCACTGAGGATTTGCCTGTCCCTCTAGCTACTTTTAAGGATTCAGTCACTGCTAACAGAGCAGTTTCAGTGGAGTGGCCCTTTTTGAACCCAGATTGGTAAGGGTCAAGCAGACAGTTTTGTGAGAGGTATTCTGTGATCTGCTTGAAAGCCACCTTTTCAATGATTTTGGACAGAAAAGGGAGGAGAGCGATAGGTCGGTAGTTCTCCACATGATTTGGAGGAAGAGATGTTTTTTTTAGCAGCGGTTTAACCTGAGCATGCTTGAGAGAGAAGGGAAAAGTACCGGATGTCAGTGATGCATTGATCACATGTGTGACTGCTGTGGCTACTGTAGGAGCAATAGCTTGGATTAGCTTAGTTGGAATGGGGTCAAGTGGGCATGTAGTAGGGCGGCTGCACGTGAGAAGCTTGGACACACAGTTCTCAGTGACAGGGTAAAAAGAGGAAAATGAAGCAGTAGGGTCTGAGATGGTTGGGCTTGAAGGAGTTTGTGGTGGTGAATGTTCAGGAGTGTCCAGTTGAGTAAACTGTTTGCTTATAGCTGCCACTTTGTCAGTGAAGAATGAGGCAAAGGTGTCAGCTGATAGATTGTTGGTAGGAGGTGGAGACGGAGGGTTGAGCAGAGTTTTGAATGTTGAAAATAGTTTCTGAGAGTCAGTAGAGCTGAGAATTTTGTCAGTGTAGAAAGCTTTCTTTGCATCAGTGATGCTGGCAGAGAATGAGGACAGTAAATCATGAAATTTCAATAGATCACCAGGATCTCTTGTTTTGCGCCATTTCCGTTCCGCAGCTCTAAGATTGGTGCGTAGAGCCCGGAGGGTATCATTTAGCCAAGGGTGCGACTGAGAGGCTCTAGCAGGTCTAGTGGCTAAAGGACACAAGTTATTAAGACAAGAGCCGAGTGTGGAGCAGAGTGACTCAGTGGCTTCATTCACTTCATAAGCAGAGAATGTGCTGGGAGATGGAAGAGTGGAGGCAACAAGTATATATTAATGAAGTAACTAGAGTGATAAATGATGAACTGATAAAAGTTAACAACTGGTTTGACATAAACAGACTTTCACTGAATCTTAATAAAACAAATTTTATATTGTTTAATGACAGAGACAACAAAGATGTAACAATACAACTAAATGGAATGGACATTCAAAGGGTGACAGAAACAAAATTCTTAGGAGTCATTTTGATGAAGCTATCACCTGGAAGTCACACATAGGTTAAATCAGAGGTAAAATTGCCAAAGCCATTGTAGTACTACATAAAGTTAAGTTTTTACTGAATAGTTCTGGATTGCTGACATTGTATAACTCACTAATTGTTCCATACTTGACTTACTGTGTAGAAATATGAGGATCCACATGTAAAACTCATGCACAACCACTGTTTATTGTACAGAAAAGAGCACTGAGAATCATTAATAACAATCACTATAGAGATCCATCCAATCCATTATTCATCAAATATAAACTACTGAAATTTTATGATCTAGTTCAGGGATTCCCAAATTGTGGTGCGCGCACCCCCGGGGATGCGCGAGCTGCCGCCAGGGGGTGTGCAAGCTGAAAAGTGTAATGGCTGCGGAGCTCAGAGAAGTCTGTCAAATGTCACCATTAGCGTAGCCAGAAACTCATTTGTGGGTGGGCCTAAGAAAAAGTAAGTGGGCCCAATAAATGTAATAGAAAACAAGTATATTTTTGCGCGTGTGTCCTCCGCATGTGCCCTAGCTTCATAATAATAATGCGCCGAGCTTCAGCACTCTGGCCTGCGCACGCTGATATGTTCCGTATTTGATCATTTTTAACGATGTTGGAGAAATCTGAAGGTGGTGAGTCATTCTGGCAGATTGTAATTAACACCGTGTCTCATGCAGGTGTTCTGACATTGTAGACCTCACACACAGAACATTGTGGATGTAACAAAATAACAAGAAATGATTCCCATTCAGGCTATTAACAGCGCGCTGAAGATCTGAAGTTCAGAGTGCGTCTGTCAGAGATCAGACGCGTTCCAGTGGAACCACGGCTCACGGGTGCACAAGTGAGCACATCTGGGCTGGGCAGAAGTCATTTTATAACATTGGTTTAAATAGTGCCAATAACGAGACGCGGTGACTTAAACGCTGCAAGTTGTGAAGCTCGTTCCATCCGCGAGCCGCATCACCAAGCGGAAAGTGAATGCATCAAGCATAAACCAAGCTTCATGGAGCTGTGCTGCGCACACGCGCACGCACGCACGCACGCACACACACACACACACACACACACACACACACAGATTGAATAAGCGCGCACACTGCGCAAACTCCAGCGCGCCTTCAGACTGAAGACAGAAATGAGCGCTGCCTCCTCTGTGATAAAAACTTTTAAGAGGTTTTATAACATTTTTTATTCAAGGTCAAATTAAGATATGAGCTTCTATTTTGGGATGACCTATTAAAGTCGAGTCTGCTCCAGCCAGTGACTCCTCATGAACCTGACAACAACTCATGTTACTGCAGCATTTGTTATTCCAGTCCGCGTGGCAGCGGATCGCAGATTCAGCCACACCATAAAACAGCAATAAGTCGGTCTGAGGCAAAAGTGAACCTCATGGCTTTTCCATCTTTTCCCGTATAGACATTTGATTACGCACAAGTAGGTGATCAGCTCAGGTTTACGCAGAGCAGAAGGAAGGAGAGCGCTCTGGCCGCACAGGTTAAACGTTCCTACTTTAAGAAAACCGTTAAATTGCATTGTTTATGTGCTACCTGGGCACTCCAAATATTTATTTAAAATTAAAACAAAGGGAAATGTAATGGTATCGAATGTTTATCAATTACTATTTAAAAAATGAAAGTGATGGGGAAAAAGGTCGATCATAGTTTTTAACCCTGTCTGTGTAGCTTGACGTCTGATATATATATATATATATATATATATATATATATATATATATATATATATATATATATATATATATATATATATATATATATATATATATATACATATATAGCCATGCCCTGATGTGGGGGCTGGGGGGTGCGTCGACATGTCGGGACATTGAAGGGGGTGCGCGGCTAAATAAGTTTGGGAACCACTGATCTAGTTAATATGAAAATATTACAATGTATAAAGCTAATACAAATACGTTACCCACCAACATTCAGAAAATGTTTGAAAAAAAGAGTCAGTAATTATTTCTTAAAAGGAACTGAAGTATCCAAAAAATAAAAATAAAAAATTTAGAACCAGAATGATGGAGACTATCTCTGTAAATGGTGTGAGAATATGGAACAACCTTAGCAAAGACATAAAAGAATCAATGTCACTAAATATATTTAAAAAATTTATTAAATCAAGTATATTACAGAATTACAATAACCTAATTCAGATGGTGGTTGATTAGGTCTGTAAGTTACACGAATATAAAATGAATCTGTTTTGTTTTGTTTATTGCAAATTGTATGGAAGCATTATTAAAAAGTTTGGTTTGTAAATAGGGGCAGAAAATATATTTCTTCCTTTAGCCCCTTTTCATTCAAAGTTTGGTGTTTGTTTATGAATGTTTTTTGTTGTTTATATATATGTGTGTGTGTGTGTGTGTGTGTATATATATATATATATATATATATATATATATATATATATATATATATATATATATATATATATACACACACACACACACATATTTGTGACCCAAAGGTCACACTTTCCCAGCTGGGTCGAGCTGTAACTTTTGTTCCACAGATAATCCACCAGGAGACGGGATGTCTGCTAAACACCATCTTAATCTGCTGCTGTTCCGTTTCAAGATGATGGACACTTCAAGATTTTAAAATAATATTGTAATAAACTGTTTTACTGTTTATTACAATCATCATAAATAATCATCTTGGCTCAGTATAAATGTATTTAATTACTGAAATGACTTATTATTCTTTGGGTTAATAATAATTATTATTTATGATAGCCAGTAATGTGTGATCATTAACCAGAAGGTCATTGGCATGTGTACACCTCATGCAGGACTGTATCCAGGGTAAAGTTAAACCACCTCACATGTCTTTACTCCATAACGAGCTTTCTGATGCTGAGAGGGCGTGTTCTGAGGTTTTGTTAAAACCAAATCTCCGCAGCTGAAGTTCAGTTCTTGAACCCACCAGAGGACGAGGGACGGCGGCCCAAGCCTCTACTAAGCTGTTCTGTCATGCCGATAGAATTGCTCCAAATAAACGCACCTGTAACCAGCTGACGCAAAAACTCCTTCAGAGTTATTGATTTTGAGACGCAAATAGTTTCATCAGTCGTTGTGACCATGGACGTAATTTGGGGGGGGGGGGGGGGGGGGGGGGGGGACATGCCCCCCCCCCCCCCCACTTTTTCCAAAGTCAAGTTTTGACCCCTGCACTTTTTACCATCCAAAAACAATATTACGCTATATTAAATTGACACTGGTTGAGCTCTAGGACCAAGCGGAAAGCAACCGTTTGTGTTGAAGCCTGTTTCCCCTTAGATACCCCCCCCCCCCCCCCCCCCCCCCCGTGTCCCCCCCACTTCTAAAGTGAAAATTACGTCCTTGGTTGTGACCCACGGAGACATCTCAGGGCCGATTGATTCGCACCGAGGTCCACCAACCTCCTGCCCGGAGGACATCATCTCCACCTGACATCTCGGATCCACAGAGGGTCTCCTGAACTGGGTGAGGTAGACTTCCCGACAGATGGCGTCTGATGCTGTTCTCGCTAAGAAACCATTAGTTAGCGGCAAACCAACATTTTCACCCAGAACGCTTTCTCTCTGAAAGAAATCTTCTGAGATTCATTCACACATCCAAACCTCGCATTTCATTTTAGCTTTTCATTCAGACACAGGTAAAGCTTTTAATAACAAGTTATAATATCAAGCTGTTACAAATTGTCATTTACAAATTGTCAGTTTTATAAATCGTTAGTAATAAATTCTTAATTTCTAAACCCGACTCTTCTTTGAAATGAAACACAGAATGGTGTATATCTTGGTTATTGAATAAGCAAAGATTCCTTTAAGCTTCTGATTCAATAAATAAACTTTTGCTAAAATTTAATTATCTTAAATAAAAAAATGTATCTTTGAATTAAAATATAGACCAAGACAGTTAGTGTATGTACTTCTATCAATTGTACTAATATCCTAGATATTTCTGCATAATAGAAGTTCATATGCTAATGTGTCCGGTCTTTTCTCAGGATCTAACCAAACTGAAGCAAACAGTGTTAAATCCTAGTATGTAGATGTGTCCACGCTACACTTCTGTTCTAGAGAAACTATTCCCAGGAACAATGGTTTCATACTGGTTCTGATGAACCACCAGCATCAGGCAGATGCAGACCCCAGATCAGAGCAGGTTTTACTCCGACTACAGAATGAACAGATTTTTAGTTTTAAATATGAGTTTACTCTAAATTAAACTGACTGTTTACCTTTATCCCATAAACCTTTACTTAATTATTAAGTCTGAAAACAGAAAATCCAGGGGCTTTATTTTGAAATGTTACATATAATTATTTATATAACATTAAAATGATCCACAATAAGACGTTTCCAGTTTTCCCACCAAGTCACTGCACAGAGACGAGCCAGACATGTTTATTGTTTGAAACGATCTTTAAGTAAAATTAAACCAGATGAAGTGAGCAACACACACTCATATACCACACACACGGGTCACTAACTCACAGTTTGGGTTTCACTTCAGAAACATGAAATCCTGCTGATTCTGCACACCCTCATCCAGCTGAGCGCTCCTAAAGCACGTGTGCACGGTATACACGTGCACACATGTGCCACACTACTGCTCACCACAATAAAAGCACACTGAATATAAAACTGTTCTCCTGTTTGTTCAACAATGAAATTCACATGTTAGATCTTAAACACATCATCGTGTGTTTTTACAAAATAAACACAAACAGCTGTGATACAATTAAATATTAAAAATATAGGCTTTCTTAAATTAAAGACGTTATCTTAAATATATATTTTCTCTCTAATTCTGTGAGTAAGTGAGATTATCAGTGGGGGGAGGGGTTAAGGACTTAGGCGGTACGATTTGACAGCTGTTTAGATTTAAGCAGACAGAATCCTAACATGGAGAGCTGCAGAACCAACACACGGAGCTTGTTAAAGCTCAGTCAGGGACAGAAGACCTGATGATCACATTTGTTTTCTGTGGTAAGAAGCAAAAGTGAATGCTCATGATGAGCAGGCTGCACTAAAGCCAGGGAACAAGCAGATGACACAACTGATGCTGCAGCAGCTTAAACCTCGTCACACGGCTGTCAGACAGAAACGTGCGCACACAAAAGGTGAATCTATCTGTATGGTAATAATAAACTAATCAGTAAACTGAATACTACTTATAGTAATAATAATGAGTATTATTATTATTTCATGTTTCAGTTTGACGGTTTCTTTCTGTTGGTTTAAGACTCGCCAAGCTCCTCTGGGAGGTTCTGGTTCCCTTCAGTGAGCAAAACTAAGACAAGCAAATTAAAAAAAAGTTTGTTGTTCATTAAAACTCCATAAACAACAGTAACAGAATCATTTAAATCAAAGTTCAACCCACAACATGTTAGTAGACAGATGGATGGTGGGATTTTCACCAGCATCACAGAGCTGAGAGCAGGAGCTGCCTAAAACCACACAGGAGGAGGATTGTAACGTTAAGGCTCACTAGTCATCTGTAACGGGCGCAAAGCAGCCCGTCTAGTCTGGTCTATGGCTCTGCTGGCTGAACAGGTTCAGAATCCACAGGAGTCTCAGCATGGAGGGCACTTTCTGGACTGTCCAGCCACAGCTCCATGGACTCTTGGGTGTCAAAGAACTCGTCTGGACCCTCAGGAGACTGAGGCGTCTGTGAGCTGGAGCCCGCCTCGCTGCTGCTCTCTCTGAGCTCCAGCAGCACCGGCAGAGACCCGGGAAGACAGTAACCCTCCATCCGAACCAGACTGAGTTCAGTTAAGGCTGCACAGGGAGGTCTGGGGTCTGGGTCTGAGACCAACCCGCTGCAGGGGTCTGCAGCAGCAGGAGCAACCTCCTGCTCATCTGAGGGGGGATCGGGATCGTCAGACTGGGTCTCAGTGCTGACTCCGACTTCAGGGTCTTCCTCTGGAGAGTTTTTGGGAGTCAGAGGGATTTCAGCGGGGTTTGAAATAGAAGGACAAGTTGGGTCAAAGCCTTGAGGTCCACAGGCAGAAGATGACTGTGTGGAAATGTTCTGAGAAGAGTGCATTTCCTCGCTGCTCTGAGGGGTGAGGGAGACCTTCTCACTGAAACTGAAGCGTGGCGAAATGTCGGCTGTGGTGGGGGAGGAAGGTCCGGCGCTGGAAACCGTGCTGGACGGACCACTGCTGTCTGTGGGGACAAAACAACACCAGCGTTTGTGCATGAGTCCACTCGGTTCTGCAGACCAGGGGTCTCATTTATAAAACATTGCGTAGAATCCTTACTAAAAGTATTCACTACTTAAGCTCAGCAAAAAAATGTACTTGCGCCAAGTAGGTCTGTGATCTATCAAACATGGAGTACGCACAGCTGCACGCAATCTCCGCTTCATAAATAAAAGACTAACAAGAAAGGTTCTCAGGTGTTTCTGAGTCACATCCCGCCCTCACCACGCCCACTTTCTGCCATAAATGGTCAATGCAAAGTGCTTTGTGGATCACATACATAAGCCGGCTCGTTGCAGCGCTCCACCATTAAGATCGCGACCACAGATCAAGGCAGCGCTGTTTCACCAGCAGAAGTTGAGGTACTTGTGGGTGAGGTGGAGAAATGAAAGGAAGTGCTTTTGCAAAACAAATAAGAGAAAATCCATGGAGTGGCACAGCGTTGCTGAAGCCGTCAATGCTGAGTTCTTCAGAGAGATCTGTGGCGGATATAAAAAAAATGGTCCGATCGGGATTTGATCCCCAGACTCCTGGGTGAAAGTCACGCGTGCTAACTAGTCAGCCAAAGGGAGATCTCTTTCAGCCAAGTAGCCAGGGCGCATGCCGTTCTGTCTTAATCTGTCCCCCTGCTGATGTTATGCATTCTGCACTTCAGGCTGTGCGTGTGCGTGCGTGTGTGTGTGTGTGTGTGCGTGTGTGTGGGTGCTTGTTCTGTGTGCGCACGAAGCGGTACAAGTATTAATGCTGCTGGAGTTCTTAATTGTATCTTCTCAGCAGCAGCACTGTAGGTGCTCTCCATGTCCAACATGTTTGTAAGCCAGGTCCATAGTCAACTTAAAGTTGTGCACATATTTCCACTGTTCTCTTTTATAAATCGCAACGTTTTCATGGAAAGTTGCTTACGCAGTTTTCCGACCCCGTTTTGTGCGTAAGCAAGCTTTATAAATGAGGCCCCTGCTCTGACAAGATCTCTGCATAAAACTAAATAAAACACGTCCAAACTGAGAGTCCATCAAAGGATCAAACTGTCAGAAGCTTTAAGAAGTTGATGAAAACGGGACAAACATAACCTGGAAACCTTTTAAACTGCACAAGACAAAGTTAGAGTGCAGAGATCCAAACTGTTAATTATTGTTGTAACTTCCTCTTAGAGCTTTTAAAATACACACATAGATCATGTCTCACAGTGATCTATGTGTTAAAATAAACAGTCTCCGCAGAGTGCGATAGCTGATGGAGGCCTTGAGATGATGCTGTTATACTCACACCATGGAGGTTTGTCAGAGCGAGACCTGAGAGGGATGGAGGAAGACAAAACTCTCTGAGGGATGTAGGAGTCAACGGATGGCTGGTTGTGGGAGCCGAACATGGCTGACAGAGCTGTAGGGACAGAGACAGAAGCTCTAACCATGTGACGGCAGCTTAAACTAAAACATCAACAGGATGTGTGTTTGTCTCTTACCTCTGGAGGTTCTGGTGTGTGGATCTCCAGCATTCTCGCACACGCTGGTGAGGAACTCATTGACCTGTTTTAGTGACAACGAGTTGTGCAGCGTCTCCAGAGGGTAGATGGAGGGCACCATGGAGCAGCCTTCGAAGCCTGAGGCAGAAGACACACATGATGCCCGTGGGCACATCAAACCTGGAGTTAGTCCAAGAAGTCAGAGGACCAAACACCACTGCTCCAACTCCACCCACATACACTAGACCTCAACACTGTGCTCTGAAACCCTGCTGCTGTTTCAGGACGGGCCTTAACCCGTGGAGAACTCCTGCCATCCGCTACGGCTCAATTCCACACAGGCAAGTTCAAATTAAAAACATGCTGAACGTCCAGGAAACCACATCTAAGACATCTCACTCTAACAGCAAAAGCAAGCAGATCCCAAAAGGAAAATAAATGAAAACAAATTGTCTTTCCGATCAGTCCCACCACGCTCTAACAGCAGCACAGCACAGTCACAGCTGATCTGAGAGCAGCTCATGTCTGACGGGTTATCCAAGCCACTTCATCCAATGTTAGTTCACAACCAAGCTGCATTTCACCAGAGATGTTCGCAGTCTAAAGAAAAGCCTCAAACTACAGCTTCTACTGTGTGAGTGTGTCACAGAGCGAGTGGACAAGCAGGAATCACATGCTGTTAAAGTCATTCAAACAGAGCAGCTGTGGTTGTACGAGCAGCAGGTCAGTTATCAGTTATCTACTTAAATCCGGAGGGGAGCATATAGAAACAGAAACGGCTGGTGGAAAAGATGCAGCAGTGGTCTGTTGTCAGTTAAACACTAAATATTCACATATCAACCCCCTGCAATATGACACTTTATGGTAATGTGTGGACACCACGGACAGGAAGTGCAGAAGATGTTTACACTACTTTAGCTAAAGGGGTACTTTGCAACCGTTTCATATTTTAAATCATGTTCTTGAGGCAGTATGGGCTAAAATGACCCTTTACAGGGTTAATGAAATGTCACTCAGATTCCCACCGTACCCTGTGGCCAGAATACCACATATGTAACTTCAGCTGACATACCCGGCGCTGCAGTCTGGTTCCAGTACGTTTCCTGCATGTTTCAGATCATGAACACAGCTGAGTTGTTTAATTTAGTGATGAATCACTCCTGTAGACACAAACGAAGGCTAGGGAGACGTTTCAGCTGTTAGATTAAGGTGCTAAAAAGACAAACTCACAGCGAGGAGATACGTTTTGCCTTCGGGTATACTAAACGGACACTAGCAAGCCAAAACTGCCTAGTCTCCCTTTAAAAAGGCCTCAGACATTTTAGTGAAGCAGTGTTTCACATTGACTTTTCTATAAGAAAGCTCAAAATACAACACCTTATATTAGGAACGAAACGTCTAGAATTAGATCAGGATGCATCTGATCAAAAGAAGAGACCAAACACTTGATGGTACCTGGATTTTTATCCTTGAAGGTGCATTCACTTTACATGATGACGACTGTGTTTGTTGTCTATAAAAATGGACATATTTGCCAATCCATGACCTCAATCATAACAAAGTAACAAGATGTCTAAATGTTTTATAATTTCTTGCAAGTGATTTTATTATCTTAAAAGAAATTATTTAATAATCTCTTTTCCAAAATTTGAGTAAATTGTAAAGGTCCTATCATGCTAAATCAATATTTGGGAGCTTGTGACCGTGTTATATTGTTATTTCCTCATGAAAAACACCCAAAAGCAGTTTTTGGCTTCACACGTGCATTTTCCTGTCCCAGCTGTAAATCCTAGCTGGCGTCCCCAGAAGGCTGCATTCATCACGACCCGCTCCACCCCATCTAGTCCTTCATGTCCGCATCCCTTCTCCCCTGAAGGTGTGAAATAACACGATAAAAGGCCTTTAAATTCTAGTCTTGGGTTTATTTACTATTTAAGCAGGATTCAGTAAAAATAAAAAGGGTTTTAAGCTGCTATAATAAATCTGCAAACAAGCTAGGTCTTGAACGCAAACATGATCACAGGACACTCGCTGCTCCCCTCGGGAATCTTCCCTGGATCCACGTGCATCTGAACTGGACACCCACAATGAAAGAGGATACAAGAGAGCGCTAAACACCAAACGATGTTTCCAAGGTCCAAACATCTTTTGAATGTCATGACTTCAAATTGTGGTTTTCTTTTTGAAACTCTGGTAGTTTTTCTCCTAAAGTTCTCCTTCTCTGATATTATTGAGCAGAGGACCTCTCACACCAGTGGTGTTCTGTTGCTAAATACGTGAGTGAATAATGAATGGAGGACCCAAGGAAGTGCGGCGGTTCGACGAGATCGACAACCGGACGGTCCAATAATTGCTTTAAGTCCGAAAGGTGTTATTGGTGAAGGGTTTTAGACAAATGCCAGAAAACCAACCAACCAACCAACCTCCCTCCCTCCCTCCATCCATCCAGGGTTTCCCCAGTGTTTTTTAAGCCTGGCATCCCGCCAGGCTTTGTTTGGCATCCCGCCAGGCTAAGCGTCATGCCCCTCCCCAACCCTACCGTATCCGCTGACTAGAGCTGCAATGAATCATCAACGTTGTCGAAAAATATCGTCAATAGAAATAGTCGACAATGAATTTCATTGTCGACGTTGTCACCAGACGTGTTTTTTCCGATCGAGTGAGGCATCTCACTTCGTTACAATCTCTGCCGAGAGTCGCACATGCACAATAGCTTCTCTGCTGAGCGTCAACTAACAGAAAAGGCGGCGTTCAACACAGCAGCTACGCCTACGCGTACCAAAACATCAAAAGTATGGGAGCATTCTAGCCTGGATTCGGCAAATAAAAAGATTACCTGCATTGTTTGCAAAGCAGTCCTTGCGTATCACGGCAGCACCTTGGTGATGCATGAACACTTAAAGAGAAAGCACGTCGGACAGTTGAATGAAACAGAGTCTGACTCACCTCGGTAAGATTTAAATAACCCGAAAGCCAATACATTTTGTTTTGGATGTACACTGCACATTTTTTAAAACGTATTTTCGCTTTAAAAAAAAGAGATTTAATGTTATGCCCGACTGTGGCTGACAAAAGTATTTTAATTTGATTTATGCATTTATGTCTATACTGACTGAGCACTGTGCCTAACTGGTGTTAGACAGGGCATTTTTACTTACTTTTAGTATGAATTGGCCTATCAGCAGCAAAGTTCAATAAAATATGCATTTTCCATTGAAGTACCCATCTTTCTTATGTTTATTTTCATTTTTCACACAATTAAAGCAATCTCATGCTAAATGTAAGAAAAATGTAACAATTATCTGATTAATCGACTAATCGTTTCAATAGTCGGTGACCAGTCGTTAGTTGCAGCCCTACCGCTGACAAGAACGGCGCAACGAAACTACAGACCTCCATCGGCTGATACTGGTGAGAAACAGCAGCGGAACGTGTGCAGAATGTGTGCAACCCCCCCACCCCCGCGCTCACGGAGGAGCGTTGGGGTGGGGTGTGTGTGTGTGTGTGGGTGGGGGTGGGGGGTGGGGTGGGGGGTTCGTGCGTGCGTGTGCTATTTAAATATTTTGTCTCCACAATATATTTATAGCTAGTGTAATCTTTATTTAAGGTATAGATAATTAATGTGTTGGGCATTTCATTATTTTGGGCAGTACAGTAATTTTTGAGTTTATGTATATTTGAATTCTGTATTAAAAGAAGAGACTGATCTGTTTACACCACCTGTTAGTGGTTGAGGAGAAGACAGGCGGGGAGAGAGGGAGAAGGAGGAAGTGAAGTAAGCAGCGGCGAGCTGCGGTGTGGGAGTTTTTGGTTCTGTCCTGCTGTTCGGCAATAAAGAGGATTATAAATCACAACTGTAGCCGTCTTCCATGTACCCCCCGAGAGCCGGCACCTATCAACAAATAGGGGTTACAGACTGCTGGTTTTTCCTGTGGACCGAGGCAGTCAACTAGCTTCTTCAGGTGGGTGGCTAAAGACATACTGTAAGTGGCTTGTTTATGAAGATGAACAGTTGGCAGTTGTTGCTGTAACCACTGAGCGGACGTTTTGTATCTCCTAGTCGATTGAGTTGGACAGAAATTATAATTTTTTTCTCGCTATTCCTTTTGCCGTGGACATGTCTCAGCCAGTTGATGACGTTAGAGATGCTGCCATTTCAGGCAATGTACAGGTGCTGGCCAGTAAATTAGAATATCATCAAAAGGTTGAAAATATTTCAGTAATTCCATTCAAAACGTGAAACTTGTACATTATATTCATGCAATGCACACAGACCAATGTATTTCCGATGTTTATTACGTTTAATTTTGATATTTATAGGTGACAACCAATGAAAACATCAAATCTGGTATCTCAGAAAATTAGAATATTCTAAAGGCCAATGAAAAAATGTTTGTTTCTCTAATGTTGGCCAACTGAAAAGAATGAACATGAAAAGAATGTGCATGTATAGCACTCAATACTTAGTCGGGGCTCCTTTTGCCTCAATAACTGCAGTAATGCGGCGTGGCATGGACTCGATCAGTCTGTGGCACTGCTCAGGTGTTATGAGAGCCCAGGTTGCTCTGATAGTCGTCTTCAGCTCCTCTGCATTGTTGGGTCTAGCGTATTGCATCCTCCGCTTCACAATACCCCATAGATTTTCTATGGGGTTAAGGTCAGGCGAGTTTGCTGGCCAATCAAGGACAGGGATACCATGGTCCTTGAACCAGGTGCTGGTGGTTTTGGCACTGTGTGCAGGTGCCAAGTCCTGTTGAAAGGTGAAGTCTGCATCCCCATAAAGTTGGTCAGCAGCAGGAAGCATGAAGTGCTCTAAAACTTCCTGGTAGACGGCTGCATTGACCCTGGACCTCAGGAAACAGAGTGGGCCAACACCGGCAGATGACATGGCACCCCACACCATCACTGACGGTGGAAACTTTACACTGGACCTCATGCAACGTGGATTCTGTGCTTCTCCGCTCTTCCTCCAGACTCTGGGTCCTTGATTTCCAAAGGAAATGCAGAACTTGCTTTCATCAGAAAACATAACTTTGGACCACTCAGCATCAGTCCAGTCCTTTTTGTCCTTGGCCCAGGCGAGACGCTTCTTGCGCTGTTTCTTGTTCAAGAGTGGCTTGACACATGGAATGCGACAC